TGGAAAAAAAAAACGAGTTTATTCGTCGTAAATGAAATCAAATTTCGTCAGAAAGAATTATTGTTTTTAATTCAATACGAGCATAAATTATTTATAAGAGAAATTCGATGGGGCAACAAATGAGATATTTAATTAAACGGAATGATGAAATTAAACTTTGCAATAGATTTTTTCAGTTTTAAGCGTATTTCTATGACTCTTGTACAACGATATGTACAGTATCATAGATATTTTATTGCAAATCTTTACTTTATCTTACTTTATTTGTAAATATGAAATTAATTTAGATATAATCCTAATTAAGATTAATAAAAAAAATTTATTTAGATAAATATAACTCTGTGTGAAACATTATCACTAATTGAATTGAAATTTGATATGCGAATAACTTGAACATTAACTTTTGTTTCACGGTTAATGATTTCAGAAAATTAACTTTTTTAAACTTAGATAAGATAACTATAGAATTTACGATACACGAATATTTTTCGAGGTCCCTCTTTCTCTACAGAAACAATTCCGCGTATCGCCACGTGTACTTCCACCTGGTCTACAATCGATGAACCTTGTGTTGCGTTATCTTTTTATATACAATGGCAAAACCTTGAAATTACTTGTTTCACTTGATTATTAATACTTTCTTTATTACTTATCGACGAGTATATTTATAATTTATCTGATATAGATTATAAATTCTAATCTTCGACGAGATATAAATAAAAAAAACTTCAACATCATCGATTTTTATCTTGCGAACGATAATCGGGGAAAAAAGAAATCAAACAATCGAAAGAAATACGAACAATTTCTTTGTTCTCTCTCTCTCTCTCTCTCCCGATCGAATCCTTGACCTTGTTTCTCGTTTCATAAAAAAAAAAAGAGAGAAAGAAAAAGAAAAATAACCTTCGATATGCACGCATTTGAACATGGCGAACGCTTGTTTCCAGCCAAATTAATACCTATACACGCCGAAACGAAGGCTCACGGTCCACCGGCCTGCTTGTAATCAGCTAATGGAGCACGTGTGCTTTTTCAGAGGTACTCGAATATGCGAGGCGCTTGGGAATCGACCCGGATACAGAACCACACCTCCTGAGTTTGGCTC